CCCCCCCCCCCCCCCCGAGGTTTCGGTTTATTAAAAGGAAAATGTTTTTTACATGCAGATCAGTGCACGATGATAAGCAGGTACAACCTCTTGAGACAATGCCATAATCCTGTCACTGGATTCTAATTACCCTCATGAAGGTACAAACATTTTCGAGCTTGCTGTTCAAGTGCCTTCAGCACCCTACCTTCACTCTTGACTATCAGCAGCTTGTTACCAGCAGTGTTTCAGCAATCCTCATCTAGACACAGATTGCTGGGTTTAAACACAGGGCCTTGATAGATTCAGCCACAAAAGCTGAAGACTCAGTCTACAACTATCCACCTTGCCCTACCACCAGTTTCCCTCTTTATCACCGATGTAAGCATGCTGAGGACGTATCTACTCCACAGCTTTACACACCACACACCAGCTATTCCAGCAGTACTTGCAGTAACGGCCCAGGCTGAAGTCTGCCACAGTTCCAAAGCAAGTTTACTACTTTTTCTGCCATCCCCACTGCAGAGTCAGTAATAGCTGGCAGCGTAAACAGGAGGTGGTAACTGCTTGTGCTGCTGCAGATAAACATAAGGGCTGGAGAAGCAACGGCAGATGTGGGTTGCACAGATTAAAAACATTCAACATAGCCTCAGCTGCAATGGTAACTAGTTTAGGACTCAAAAGGGACAGAAGCAGCAAAGGAATTATCAAATGGCACACGGTGAGAGCAAGCAAACTTTCTTCTGTCCCGCTGTCAGGACTTTTCCCATGAGATTAGGGACAAACCTAAATTCTTCCCAAATGATTGGCTCAAGTAGATAAAGAGGAAGGACTCAGTGACAGAAGGAAGCTGCATAAGACAGACAAGTCTGTATCTTCAACTTAGTGGACAGTGGCCATCAAGGGGACACTAGGATGGTGATGAGTCAGAACCTGAACTGAAATTCACAAATACTTTCTCTTGAAGAACAAACTATGCCCTTCAGCACCCCTCCTGCTTCCCTCTACAATGAGGCTCCTACCAGTTTCCATCTTTCTCATTCTAGCCCAGGAAGCTAAGGTGAGTTGGACCAGACAACTCCTGAGTTATTCCCTAAAGCAGCTTATTTTCCTGCTAGCAATGCACGGCCAAGAGTCGAAAGCCCCTTAGTACTAGGTGTGTGTAACACCAGTCTTGCCAGGATTAAAATTCAACCACTGAATAAAAATCCAGGATTTGGAGGATTCCATTAGCTCTTCCAGCTCTCAACTCTCTGAAGACCAAAATTTGGTAGGTGTTAAAAATTCCCCTCCCACACCTTTAAACACTTCATTATGAATCCATTTCCCTTATATTTTGTTCCTTATTCTGGGTTGGGCTTTTTTTTTTTTTTTAAGGAGAGGGGAAAGTTCAGACTAGACAGATCAAATTTCAAAGTTCAACAAAGTTTTACACAAAATTTTGTATATTTAGAACACATACAGAAGCCACATATGCTTCCCAGTTCCTCCCAAAGTTATGTACATCCATAACATGCACATAGGAAAAACTTCCAAGCACAGGAAATGAAAAGCAGGAGTATCTAATGGAATATATCCAGAGTCATGCTCTGTGATGAGATGTTCACCTTTCTTGATTAAAGGAAACAAAAGGTTTTTTGCCTCAGCTTGCCCTCCCTGTCCTCTCAATTGTCTCTGGCAACCTCTCAAAACTCTCACAAGCAGCATCTCTCTCTGCATTTTAATGAAATATTTATTCTATTTGTTTTTTCTTGACTTATTTGAAGTTAAATGCTATAGAAGGCACAGGGATCCCTTCAAGCGGAGTGAAACATATGAAGTTGATCTCCCTCTCAAACTGTGAGCAGTCATCTTTCCCAAATACAAGGGACAATGGAAATGGGGCACAGAGATGGATCTCAGCCTATCCAATACAACAAAAGTATAATGGGAATCCTAGCTCATAGCCACTTGTATTAACCAGTAAAACATCACACTCATTTCTCACTGTACAGCAGTGAACAGAAGTCTACTCACATGCAGGTCCTTTGGATTTGCTGAGCCAACCTAGGACAGACAAAAGGAAAATTCAGGATTACTATTATACTTGCTTTAATTCATCTTTCAACCGTTAGAATTGGTTAAAATTAAACAAGTTGTGTGCGGCTTCTTGAGTTCCTTATTACTCCCTTCAAGTCAGTTGCTTAAGTAGCACTGCCTGATCAGTGTAGTAACAGCACAAATATTATTTGAATAGTTTAAGTCTGCTTCCTAGCCACCTTTGCTGCCTGGCCATTATTCTGCAGCTCCTCACCATGCTCTTCCATACCACTCTGCTCTTACTAAGCTCTCCAAAGGGACCTGAAAGAGGAATTGCACCTGAAAATGCTCCCCCTTTCTTTTCATGGAGAACTACACAAGTCTTTGGGCTGACCCTGTAATTTCTCCAAACCCACACTTACATGAAACATGCAGGTTAGAATCAAGATCCTTTGTTCATGTACAACACCCCCCCACATTTCTGTCTGGCCATCCAATGCAACAGTGTCCTTGTTTTCATGACCATTGAATTCATCCCTCGCTGTATCCCTGCAGCCTTCCTTTCAGCCACATAATTAGAGACAAAAGAAACCTCTGCTTTGCACAGATTCCCAAAGAATAGGAACAAGTCTGAATCTGCTCAATGACTGGAGTGCGCTCTAACAAGCTGTTCCATGCAATGCAAACAAATACCAGCGGTATCCAAGAGCTTCTGTGCAGAATAACCTTGGCACTGAAAAGACCTTAGAACAGCAAGCAGCAGATTGGCTGCATTTGCGTCAGAGACAACACACAGGAATGAAGTAGTTTCAGTTTATTCAAGCTCAATTTATCACTTTAATGGCAATCCTAGAAATTAAAGAGCTAGCTTTATAGCGTTTCACATGTGATCAGTCAACAAAAATCAGGCTGTGTCTAAATCTAAATGGACTTAGATTCACCGAGCCAGCGTTATTAATTTTTAAAGGTTAATATTTAAACTCCCTCCTTTATAGGTATTGGTATTTGCTTAATTCAGGATGTTTAATACTTTTACCAACACCTGTACTTGCATCTCCCAGGACCAGGTGATGCTATTGTCAATAATAAAAGGCCCAACCTATGTTTTGATAGGTTTCTGACGGAGCTGGTTATGAATCTGAGAGAGATTACACTATTTGGAACACAAATGATAGGAAGCTTTCAGAGTATTTTAGAGAGTACACGTTAAAATTTAATGAACAACTTATTCTGATCTGCTGTCATCCTTCCAAAAATAGACTGGCCAGACAGGAGGACCATTGTGAATGAGATATAAACACAAGGCCTTTGAGAGCTTGGGAATAACCTTAAGGGCCAGAGATAGGAGGGGAAGGAACAGGAGGGGGGGGAATAGACACAGCAACAAAGAAAGAATGGAGAAGCATTATCTGTAGAAAAGCAGACAAAATGTTTTTTATTACTCCCTTCCAACAGTTCAAAAATTCCCTATCTCTATCTACTAAGCACCCCAGCTCTTAGCTACATTCCAGATGAACCCTCAATGAAAACAGAAGAGAGAGGAAGAACTAAGCCTCAGCATTTCAGGTCCTTGCTTTTCAAGTCTTCTTGCCTGCTCATTCCTTCATTGTTTCCCCCAACTAATCTTGGAGAACTTGCCAGACAGGAAAAAAAGGCACAACAGTGATAAAGCTCAAAAAAATATTTTTGAACAGCACTGAAGTTTCCATAAACCCTCCTCTTCTGACACAGCTTCATTGCTTGCCCATCACCAAATGCTGCATTCGTTTTGTGTTAAAATATGTGCAGCAGTTATTTTTATGTTCATGGATATCTTCCTGTGAAAACAGTTTCCCCAAATTCTGCAGTGTGCTTAGTGACTAAGCAACTTATCATACTCATCTCATGGCACTCCAGGATATTTGGATAGATTGCTTGAGACAAAGTGCTGAAGATTTTTCTTAAAAATCCATGCATAAATAAAATCAATTTATTACCAGAGGACAGACCAGATGCTTGCTGACTGGAAATGAATCTGCCCTCTGCATTAACCACGTGGCAAAGAGAACACATTTCTGCCCAGAACATGAATATATCTCTAAGCCTCCTGGAACTCAAGCAATAGAATTTCTAAACAGCAAAATTATTGCAATACAATATACATCATATGGTTTTAAACATATGAATCACAAGCTCTGCTTTCTCACTCAGAGCTGAGCCAGCCATTGTCTCCACGCTTGTCTGTCTTTTTATGAGAACATTCTTCAGCTTTTGTAGCAATTGTGAGCACGTCACGTTGGCCCCGCATTCAAAATAAGCATTACCACCAAGAGATTTAATACAATCTCTTGCTTCATGTTAACATCGCTTTGCTCTGCCTGCTCTGAATGATTTTGCTATGTAAAGTAATAAAGTGAGGATGGTGTGGTGGTTGGGGGACAAAGATGAGGGAAAGATGATTTTCCAAGGGCCTCGCCAATATTCTTTGTTTCTCCATCTGTCTCTCTGCTCCTCGGCTGACTTGCTCATTAATGTTACTCATGGCTGGCGTGCTGCTGCAGGTGCAGCTCTCCGGGACCATGACGCATCGTAGAGCACCCCCCATCCCTCCCAGCAATTGGCAGCTGGGTTGCTACCTCCCAGTCTCAGAAAACTTGTATATGGAAGCGCTCCTCAGTGAGCCCTTCCCCTCCCCCAGGATTTGCTCCCCTGCATGTCTTGCCCTCTGCTGCTATGATTTTGGGCTCCCTTCCACATGCACTCACTTTCTCACTTCCCCTGCAGGAAATGGTTCATGCCTAGCCACTGTAATCCTATTTAGCTGATGATCTGCCTTGATCAGTTTACCACAGCTGGTTTCAGGTCCTGAAGCAAAAGGAACACAGAAAGGGAAACAATGCAGAACCACTCTGGGGTCTTCTGACATGCTTAACTAGTGCTTTTGTTAATATGACTGGATGCCTCAGAAATGATATTAAAAAGGCTTGCCAGTATTGTGGCTGCCTTTCCCCACTCAGCAGCCCCGTGCAGCATAAGGCATTTGCATACTGATTACAGACTCAATTGAAGGTGCTGCAGTGTGCAATGGGAGTTTCAGACAGGGATGGTGCACCCCAGCCCCAGGCTGGGAGGCATATCTGACAGGCCTACATCTGATATGAAGCAGTGACACTATCACCAATAACACCAAGGCTGGAAAAAAAAACAAGGATAGAGCAGATCCAAAAAGACCTTGTCCTTTTCCCACTCTCACTATCAATTCTTGCCAATTTGTCACTCTCTCACATGTGTCTCCCCCACCCCTCATTACATACAAAGCCAAAATCAGGCCAGGAAGATATACAAGTCTGGGATATCTGATTTGAGCAGCCTCTCCCTTCCAACTCGAAGAGCCAGATATACTAAAAGGAGATCAACTCCTCCTCCAGCAGTTTCCAGCACCAGCAGACTTTTCCATATAGGATCACCTCAGCTTTTAGTGCATCTGGCAACTAACGTTTATTCTGCTCTACCACACAAAGGCCAGTCAAGCTTCACACTGATGCTGAAGAACGTTGATCATGGGACATTTTCAGGTGCCGTGGTATGTCAAATAAATAGAAATTTTTAGAGTTATGTCAAGAACTGAGGTTTTCTTTTCAAAGGTAAGCTGTTGCTCTACATTGCAACAGCTGCTGAAGTCAAATTTATGTGCCTTTTATGGACTAACCTCCTTTAAAGTTCTGTGCAAGAGCACACAAAGTTACTCCTTCCATCCCATGACACTTATGATCAGGCATCTCTCTACAGACAAAGACTACATCATGGCTGGTCTGAGAGAAAAAACGTATTTCAGGGTACACTGGGTAAAAAAGCACATAGTTCACATCATGTAGTACCTTGTGAGTATCCAGTATAATTTTCTTCTTCCACTCATTTCTGGAAGGCGGATTCCCTCATCTCCGCTAACATTTTACATATCATCCCATTGCACTGCTATATACATTATTCACCACACGCCCATCCGATAAACATCAAGAAGTTAAAAAGGGGAGGAGGGGAAACTCAAGCAGCAAAGAGGATCTAACAGAGGGGTGCAGTTAGCAGGTGCTGAGGTGTCAGAAGATAGCATACAAGGAAACACTGAACAGATTTATTAGCTGTGCAAAGAGCTGAAGACAATCTGTGTTTCCAAAACTACTTCACACGAGCAGTTGCTACAGGGCATACAGATAGAGTGTCTACATGAGAATCTCACACAAACAAAATGTGGTCCATGCTCTTGAGACAGTCCAGCTGCAGTGAGGGGATGAGAATGAAGGGGGAAAAGTCTGGGGGAATCAAAATGACAGGGTAAAGGACAAGCACTTATTTACTAATACACAAGACTCATTCAGTTCAAACACTGCCCTTTACTTAACAAGTAGTGATGGAAGATTTCCTGCGAGTACTGAAAGATGTGTACAAAACCCACCAACCATCACCAGTTTCCTCATAAAAATATAAGCCCACCTCCATTCTTATACATATCCCACTCCCTGCAGCATATGCAAAGGTGTCACTTACCTGTGGCCTGTGTTTCCAAGATAAAGGTACCAAAGATAACTAGCAAAAGAAATATCCCATGGCTAGTCAAGGCAAGAGACGATCCTGTGTTGCTCTTTGGTGCTACCATTCCATGGCACATCTTTTACCCACCAAAGTTTCTTTTTTTAAAAAAATCCCGAAAGATCTGGTTGATCAGGAGCACCTCAGTCTACAAAAAGAGAGAGAGAGAGAAGGAAAAAACAGTAAGTGTTGAGCCAAACACCTACATCACCTGGGGAGAGGGGGAAAAGGGGAAATTCAGAAACAAACAAGAGCGACCTTTTGCATGGTAAGATTCCTAAATGCTAGAACAAGTATTCACAGTTCACAAGGAAACAGGAGCAGAAAAGGCAATCTTCTGCACAGAAAATAATAAAAGGAGCGGCATTTAGAGAGACCACAACTTTTCACTCACCCTCTAATATTTCAGGTATGAAGACTGCCTAACTTACAATTAATTTTAGCTTTTCCTTTCAAGACAACCCCAGAGGATACAGCGTCTGCAGAATTTATCTCAAAATAACTTCAAGAGAGCCAGTCTTCCTACACCCCCCACCACCTTTCAGAAGGTCTCCAAGACTGTATTAGACAGCTAGGATAAATAAATCAAATGCTTCTTCAGCCACCTGGAGAGGCACAGCAAATCTGACAGCCAGCCGGCAGGCAGGCAAACACATGCTTATGAGGAGGAATGTAAAACAGCTTGCAATCTTCAGGTATAATGTTCTGACAGTACAGAGCATAGCAATTAAAATTGCAGGATGTGACACTGCTCATACCTGAGGACTGAGGGATTCAGCCGTAGCCTATCAGGCACTGTCACAGCAAAAACAAATTCGTACACAAACACACAAAGCACAGTTGGGAAATCAAGAAAGCACAAAGTTGAATCTCTATTTTTAATGACGGAAAAAGACACAGCAGAATACATGTCCCACCAACCTAGTATATGGTTTTAGCCTGCAAGACCTCCAGTGGTAACTTTGGACCTCGATGAGTAACAATATCACACGTGACTCCAATGCTCACAAAAAAGTTGGGACTAAAAAAATCTGTGTGTACTGGTTTTATAAAGGAGGAAGAAGAAAACTGGGATAAAGACAACTGGGTGAGTGATGAAGTTAAAAAAAAACCAAACAAATCAACCACACAGAGACACATTTCAACGCTTCTATCATGCTATTCCTTACACAAACATCTAAAGGGAAAAAAAAAGTTGCAGAAATTAATGTTTCTTTACACTTGACCACAGGAATACTTCCAATTTTGAGGGAAATCCCATTCAGCCACAGCTTCTTCAGTTAAACCTGTATTTATACTGAAGGGGGATTTTCTTCTTTTTTTTTTGGCCAAGTTTCTCATAGAAATTCAAAACTGCTGGATAACTCCAAACAAATCTGAGAGGTGCAAAGGCAGGTATCGTACTCTTTCACACCCTGTGAGAACAGAGGGGAGACGTGGGTTAGTGCTCCTACTACTAGTGAAGGCAGTATGACTATCGGATCCTTAAGTACTTCTGAGATTAAGTCAACATGTCAGCACTGACCAGAGAAACACACAACTCCAACAGCCACAACTCACATTTCCCATCACTTAGGCAAAAAAAGAAGCTGCATTATGGGAGGGAATAGGTAGATTTGTCATTAAATCTGGAAGTCATCCTAGTGAAAAGAGGGTTTCCGTAGTTCCATGTCACTACTTTGCTCATATTTCCTTCACAAAAAGGCTATCTAAGATTTGGATCTTTCAAGTCAATTAGTCTCTACCAAAGAGGAATTCTCAGTCTGCACACACCCCCGCCTTGAAATGTCATGTCAAGATGACATTTAAACTGCCATGTGGCAAGTATGGAGCTGATGCTACAATAAACTCTGCGTCTGCCCCTTTGTTTCTTGCTTCATTTGGAGGGGGAGGGAAAGAAGTTAAACTATCCCAATCTACGCCTCTAGCACAGCCTATAGATTTCTCATCCCTTCCACAGACTTTGTGTTCAAACTCCTACCATGCAGAAAGGAATAAGGATGCTGCCACTCACCTGCCAGAATTCCTTCAGCAACAGTCAGACCGTGGAACGAGAAAATACTCCTCTGTGAAGAAGGCCAACCCAGCTAGTCTGTACATCTACCCCCTCCTCTCAAGTAAGATCTGCCACACGAATTTTAAGTTCATATTCAATTGGAAGAGGCCAGCATCTGGCCTATACTCCAGGCCAACAGCTGGCTGCTTTCTTCTAAGAGTCACTGCTCTACACCAAATTACAGCTCTGACAAAGCAATGAACCACCTTCAGCAAATGGCCCTTCTGATTAGATCAAGACAGGTCTGTCTTCCCCATTCCAATTTAATGAAGCCTCATTAGTATAACAAACTCTACAAGTCTTGCCAAGGTATCTTTTAAAGGTGCCCTTCCCTGCAGTGCTTGCCGGTGACATATCGGTGGCCAGAAGGAGAGGTAGGGAAGAGGGCATGCAATTATCACAGAATTTGCTGAGCCGCCTGAGGTGTGCTACCTTGCCCAGAGGCGTTTTCCTCTCCCAAAGAGTGCACGTGGAAGCCAGCCGTTCAGTTCTGGTCTCTGAACAACAATCTAGTTCGAGATACCTAACACAAGAATATCTTCTGGGGGAATCAATTATTGTTTATTCTCAGTTCACTAACAGATTGCTCCAAAGCACAGTGCTGTTTCTCTCCTTTCTTCTAAAGTTGAGCACAGTTTCCCCATCTCTTTTCAGCTACCAAGTCGCTTGAATCCCAGGTTATCAGGGATGTTGTCTGTCAAGAGGCCCGGGGCTGTCCCACAAGGAATGCTGTAAATTGCTACTGCTATGCCTACACTAACATCCCACTAAGCTGATTTAGTTCAGTGTGGGATTTGAAGGAAGCACAAAGGCAGCAAAACCATACAGTGGAAGATAGCATCAATAAACCCCTCAGAATTGTTAAAAGACAATGGGCACAGGTACTGCCTGTGAGGATCCTCCCTCCCTCGGGCTACAGGCAAGTTACAAAACTTGTTCCCAGCCTTGACTTTTCCTTGGCAAAATTAGAAGATGAAAGAGATAAGAAGGTATCCTTTCTTCCCAGAGGGGAGCTGGTGGTTGGGAAGCTATTTAGACAGACATTCAATTCTCTGAAACTTGACTGTTGTTTCAGCACATTCCTCATACCTACAGCTCAGGGGGAAGCAGCTTTCCTAAGAATTCTTCAGGCCTCCACCTCCAGAAGTCAACTAGAGTGCACTGTAGAGCACACACGTTTGTCAGAGACACACTCTCAGGGAGATAGCTTAACAATTCATGGGTCCACGTGAATCAAAGCAATTCCCTGTTTACACACAGCATTAAGGACAGGTTGGTTTCTGTAATGGATCCTAGAAACAACGAGGCAGAAGCTGACAGTAGCACGAATATACTGAGTGAGGACACTTCAGACCTGTTGCACATGCCACAGCCTAGGCTGAAAGGGTATGGGAGGATTAAGTTTAAACAGAGATGTTTTCAAAGATAATATTTAGTATAACCAGCAGTTCCCATAAATACAGTAATGAGGGGAGAGGAGATTCTTTTCTGTTAACAGTACATCAAGTCAATAGAGGTATTTCTTTTGCTTTCTTTTTAATGTGCACTTTGAAAAACACCTACTAAATAAGGAAAAGAAAATAAACTATCCTCTGTGGCCACAAAGTCAACAGCTACATACCTCTTCAGGGAACGCCATGAACAAGGGGAAAAAGTGCTCATTGCTCCTGAGTTACAGTCATCCCTTATTCTTTCTTTCCCTTAAGTCTTGTCAAGCAACCTTCCCAGTGATGCTTCAGCATTATTCCCCCTCACTGCACGGCCAGCCCTGCTTGCACAAGCAGTAGTTCGCTTCTACATGAGCTCCCTGAAGCAGGCATCAGCTTCCACTGAAACCACACAGGCCAGACTTTCTTTAAACCACAATCAGACATTTACAAAGATGACGCACCCGCATATGGCAGAAGCTTTTTCTAAGCTAAGATGTTTGGGGACCTCTGCCATTTATCTTCTAGACCTTCAGAAGCTGCCAACTCATATCCCTTGATCCAAGATCCCTTTGTAAGCATGTATATGTTTTCCCGGGATTATGACTAATTTTCTGATTTCTCCCCATCTAGTCACAGCAGGACTCCTAGGTCCCCATGGAAAAGTATTCTTTGGAAAGTCATATGATCAGGACATGAAACGAACCAAATTTGGGTAGTTCTGGTACACCACTAGGGGGGTGGACAGGACAGTCTGAGGCTCTCCATTTGCTCAAGATGCCTAGCACAGCCATGTCCTGTGTCACCATTGCTGGAAAACACCTGGATTCTTCACAGTTTGCTTAGGGCAGCGTTCAGTATGTTTGGAATGCTACTGGCTTGCTTTTAAATACCACACTTGAAACTTGCAAAAAGAAAATTAGTTATTCTCATGCATATCAGAAATCTCTATTTTATCCACATAGTTTATCCCTCACAGAATAATACCCAGAAATTGTTTGCTATCTCTTGAATGCACACAGCAAAGATCTTGGCAGCAGAACGAGTGATGGGTGTGCACAGCATACCTTTTGAAAGGCTAAGCACAAGGATTGTTCTTGCCTCATGGTCACGCTGCAGGTGGAACCTAGTGTGAGCACTGTGGTTCAGAGGATTTAACCTTCACCCTTAGCTACTGGTTTTGTTGCGTCCTTATTTTGACTCCTTTCAATGAGCAGTCAAGCTTTAAAACAAAAAAGTCATCCTCTTGGCTGTTTAGTAAGAAAAATTACAGAAAAATCAAGTCCGAGTGCCAGCAGAGGAAGGAAATCCCTATTTCTACTTACTTTCTATAGCTAAACCAGTTTAATTGAAAGCTTTTAGAAACAGAATCGTATTTTTAACATTTTGGGATAACTTCACAGTTCAATTAAACTGTACAGTTAAACTAGACACAAAGAAAAAAAACCCAAAGCATTCAAAGTTACCTGCAGGCAGTTTAGAAAAATCTTAATCATCTGACTTCTCAGCACAGCCAACTCTCAATTAGCCCATATAATTGGAAAAGGTAGAAGACAGGAAATAAGAAAAACCAAACAACCCGTGTAACACTCCATA